CGGGCCTGGGCTTGGAGCGGCGGGCGGGCGGGCAGGCGCAGGACAAAACAGAAGCTCTCCCCGACACTCGCAGGGCCTGGGGTTGGTCAGATATGGAGGGCCCAAGGCGTGGCAGAAGTTCCTCTTGTCATTTTGTATAGCACTATCTTCTGACCTTTGTTGTAGAGCTTTGGTGCAGTTATAACCTTTATTCGATTAAGAATCACCTTACCAACACCACCAAAATACTCCCTTACTTTTTCTTCAGGTGTATTTGGAGAAAGGCCACCCACAAATTTTTTTTTAACAGGCCCTTTTGTTTTCATGGCTTTGGCCCTTTTAATATCCCTCACCTTCCCATTCACTTTATGTTCTTTCTGATCCACGACCTTTTCTATGCTCAGACTCTTTAAATAGCTCAGAGCCAAAACTCCTTGACTGCCCTGTGCTAGGATCTAACTTGAGAGTACAGTCTACAATTTCACCAAATTTGGAAAAGTTGTCCTTCAGATCTTCCTTTGTCGTGTCCCAACTAAGTCCTCCTATAAAAAAAAGGGGATATAGATGAATGTCCATTTTGTATCTGTGTATTCAGAATGATTAGGATAGATATATAGTTACATACTCTCAATGAATAGAGGGATTTGTTGTAATACTGTTTGTAAATAGGATATCATGTCTGCATCTTGTACAGCAGATAATCACTAGGAAGAAGGTATGCAATGTGTTAGTTATTGAAACTGTCCTGCCAATTTGATTTGAAACTGTCTTATTGCTATTTGTCTCAATAAAATTGTGAAAAAAAACCGCAAAACATTTTCTATTCTTCCTGCTGTGCTGTCCTGCTTCAATGTGTCGTGGGGAGGCCATTGTCCTCTTGGTTCTTGCAGGTGTCGATCTTGGCGCCTTTGGACTCAGAGCTGCCGTCCTCCTGGCCTCTGGCCAGCATTCCGCCCCGGCCCTGGCTCCACCACTGGCTGCTGCCAGGGCGCCCTCCTGCTGGCCCGCCGAGCCACCCACCGCCGCTGAGAGGACCCCCAAGTAGCAGCGCAGGAATCCTGAGGCTCCTGCCTGTCCCTGGCCTGCCCCCTCGCCTCCCGCTCCTGCGGGCTCATGCTCACTCCCCAGCTATGCTAGAAAACAACAGAAAACAGGCCTACTCTGGTGGCCTCCTCGCTTTAATGGCGCCGCCACTGAAAATATATTTTTTGGAATATATTTATTCGATTAAGAATTACTGAGAAGCACAAAGAAAGTAGGGAGAAAAGTTGTTTTTTTCTGTTGGTGTTCTGCCACTGATTGTCGATCAATCTGAATTTGTATCAGTGATTTAGAGTATATACACAATGTTATATGTTTATGTGTACAAGATCATAATCTTAATTCCAGGTCATTTTTTTCGGATTCAGTGGAGCTTTGAAAAATGGACATGACCTTTTAGTTTTCTCATATGTAACATAATTCTTAAGTTGCTTCCGAAAAGTTGGATTACAAAGACTTCTAGTTTTTGTTTTTTGTTTTTTTTTTGTAACTGATTTCAGATTTTTCTCACATTTAAAAATTGTGAAGTTTATGTTCCTTTCTGTTAGGAAAGCAGTCATTCTGTTAGGTGTTTGTAAAGTCAGGAGGAAAAGATGAATGAAAAAATAGTCATATCACCTACATATCACTGAAGTTCTATTTTCTTTCTTTTTTCATGCATACAAGATGTTTTTCTTTTCAATATAGTAGCTGTCTATTGAATGCTACCACAACTGTTGAGTTCTTGCTGATGTTATTATTGGTCACATTTAACAGGTATGAAAATACTTTGCACAGAGATTACTTTCTTGAAGTCATTCATCTAGGATTTGAACCCTTGTTGTCTAACACTGTAATCTAAGGCTGAATTACTGTGCTCTCATACCCAGCAACTGAGAGACTGAGACAGGATGATAAATTCATAGCTAGCCTGGGAAGGGTAGACAAAAAAAGAAAACAAGTTCTTACTAATGTTGTCTCTCTTGCTTTCTTTTTCTTTTTTTTTTTTTTTT